CTCACCTCTCTCCGCAACCTCTTCATTACCAACAGCTCCTTTAATCTACCTACTGTTACTGAAACCTGGTGTCATGAATCTGACTCTGCTTCTCCTGCTCCTGCTTCCCTCTCCCATGGTGGCCTTCTCTGGGCTGACTCCCCCTGCCTCATGGATGAAAGGAAAGTGGCGTGGGAATCGATATTTCACCGACCTCTCTCTCTGACCCTCTCCTCATTTGAGACACATTGTATTTGTCTGTTTTCTCCAGTTTGTTTAAGAATTGCTGTGATCTGCGGGCCCCTGGACCGGTATCAAGCTTCCTTGATGGCTTCTCTGCCTGGCTACCCTAATTCTCTCTTCTGAAATCCCCACAATCATTGTTGGTGACATCAACATCCCTGGCAATACCAATACTCCTGCTACTTCTAAACTTCTCAGTCTAACCTCCTCCTTGGACCTGAAGCAATGGACACACGAAGGACAGATGCTTCTACTCACTCTGATGGCAACACCTTCACCCCTTGTATTCTCCTGCCTATGCACTCCATGCAAACTCTCCAACAATCCTCTCCCACTCCATGCAAGCTCTCCAACAATCCTCTCCATGCAAGCTCTCCAACAATCCTCTCCCACTCCATGCAAGCTCTCCAACAATCCTCTCCCACTCCATGCAAGCTCTCCAACAATCCTCTCCCTCTCCATGCAAGCTCTCCAACAATCCTCTCCCACTCCATGCAAGCTCTCCAACAATCCTCTCCCACTCCATGCAAGCTCTCCAACAATCCTCTCCCACTCCATGCAAGCTCTCCAACAATCCTCTCCCACTCCATGCAAGCTCTCCAACAATCCTCTCCCACTCCATGCAAGCTCTCCAACAATCCTCTCCCACTCCATGCAAGCTCTCCAACCCTCTGATCACCACGTTATTAGTTGCACCTCCTCTCCCTTCATCCACCTGACAGCTATCCCTGGAAACCTTCTCTTCTCCACTCTTCTACTAACCACCTCTATGACAAAATCTCCACCCTACCCTGCCCTACCCTGCCCCGATCCAGCCACTTCTGTCTACTATCCATCCATTTCCTCAACCCTGGACAAGCTCGCCCTCCTCACTATACACACAATCAGGCCCCAACCCCCACAACCATGGCAAACAGATGTCACCAGAAGTCTCACAAAATGTAGCCCCTCTCATGGGTGCCTGGGAAGTAAGACTAAGTCCTAGCAAGCAAAATACAAAAAACTGGTCACCAACCCGGGTCTATAACTGGCTTTTTCAGCAGTGAACATGGACGGGCATCGCATGGGAAATATAAATAGGACTACCCTGTTCAACTTGCCAGCCAACCCCAGTCTAGTAATGGCCATTATCAGCCAGGAACATGGATAGGTATCACTTATCAAAAAGGGGGATAAGAAAGCCGGTTCAATCTGCCAGCCAGTCAGCCAACTATCAAAAACCTAATTATGCCGTCTAAGAACATGCGTTTTAAAAACGGGTTCAGTTAGCACACATTTGCAAATACATCCGTAAGCCACAGAGCCACGTCACAGCACCCTGATATTCTGTGGTCCTAACTCTATAAATCTTGAGAGTCCTCATAGTAGAGGCACATGCATTTAATGGATAGACCAAGGGCAGGTGGACCTGAGGGAGCCCACCCCTTGTTAAAGGTATAGGAGCGTACCGGACACCCAGCATATAGCACAATGGCGGCCAGGGTGTCTAATGCGCCCACAATGGCGGCCAGGGTGTCCAATGCGCCCACAATGGCGGCCAGGGGGTCCAATGCGCACACAATGGCGGCCAGGGTGTCCAATGCGCCCACAATGGCGGCCAGGGTGTCCAATGCGCCCACAATGGCGGCCAGGGTGTCCAATGCGCCCACAATGGCGGCCAGGGTGTCCAATGCGCCCACAATGGCGGCCAGGGTGTCCAATGCGCCCACAATGGCGGCCAGGGTGTCCAATGCGCCCACAATGGCGGCCAGGGTGTCCAATGCGCCCACAATGGCGGCCAGGGTGTCCAATGCACCCACAATGGCGGCCAGGGTGTCCAATGCACCCACAATGGCGGCCAGGGTGTCCAATGCACCCACAATGGCGGCCAGGGTGTCCAATGCACCCACAATGGCGGCCAGGGTGTCCAATGCACCCACAATGGTCGCCAGGGCGTCCAATGCACCAACAAACCTCAAAAATTACATACAAAAAACTGGTCACCAACCCGGGTCTATAACTGGCTTTTTCAGCAGTGAACATGGACGGGCATCGTATGGGAAATATAAATAGGACTACCCTGTTCAACTTGCCAGCCAACCCCAGTCTAGTAATGGCCATTATCAGCCAGGAACATGGATAGGTATCACTTATCAAAAAGGGGGATAAGAAAGCCGGTTCAATCTGCCAGCCAGTCAGCCAACTATCAAAAACCTAATTATGCCGTCTAAGAACATGCGTTTAAAAACGGGTTCAGTTAGCACACATTTGCAAATACATCCGTAAGCCACAGAGCCACGTCACAGCACCCCGATATTCTGTGGTCCTAACTCTATAAATCTTGAGAGTCCTCATAGTAGAGGCACATGCATTTAATGGATAGACCAAGGGCAGGTGGACCTGAGGGAGCCCACCCCTTGTTAAAGGTATAGGAGCGTACCGGACACCCAGCATATAGCACAATGGCGGCCAGGGTGTCTAATGCGCCCACAATGGTGGCCAGGGTGTCCAATGCGCCCACAATGGCGGCCAGGGTGTCCAATGCACCACAATGGCGGCCACAGTGTCCAATGCGCCCACAATGGCGGCCAGGGTGTCCAATGCGCCCACAATGGCGGCCAGGGTGTCCAATGCGCCCACAATGGCGGCCAGGGTGTCCAATGCGCCCACAATGGCGGCCAGGGTGTCCAATGCGCCCACAATGGCGGCCAGGGTGTCCAATGCGCCCACAATGGCGGCCAGGGTGTCCAATGCGCCCACAATGGCGGCCAGGGTGTCCAATGCACCCACAATGGCGGCCAGGGTGTCCAATGCACCCACAATGGCGGCCAGGGTGTCCAATGCACCCACAATGGTCGCCAGGGCGTCCAATGCACCAACAAACCTCAAAAATTACATACAAAAAACTGGTCACCGACCCAGGTCTATAACTGGCTTTTTCGGCAGTGAACATGGACGGGCATCACATGGGAAATATAAATAGGACATGCATCCATTAAATGCATGTGCCTCTACTATGAGGACTCTCAAGATTTATAGAGTCAGGACCACAGAATATCGGGGTGCTCTGACGTGGCTCTGAGGCTCACGGATGTATTTGCAAATGTGTGCTAACGAAACCCGTTTTTAAACGCATGTTCTTAGACGGGATAATCTGGTTTTCGATAGTTGGCTGACTGGCTGGCAGATTGAACCGGCTTTCTTATCCCCCTTTTTGATAAGTGATACCTATCCATGTTCCTGGCTGATAATGGCCATTACTAGACTGGGGTTGGCTGGCAAGTTGAACAGGGTAGTCCTATTTATATTTCATAAGTCCTAGCAAGACATCAACCAATAGAAATCTGCCCTCCAAAAATAAAATTCCTGCCTCCACACTGCCCAGCAGACCGATTTTATCACTCTCATTACCACCTTCACTTCCAGTCCTCGCCATCTTTACTTTCATCTCCACTTCGTCCTCCACGGCCTCCACCCACCAACTCACTCGCTGCCCAGGAGATCACCAATCACTTCATATATAAGATTGATACAATTTGTGATGAGATCTCCACTCTACAGATATCCCCCTACTTAACACCCCACGTGTACAGGTACATCGAACACTTTCCTCATTCAACTCAATGGACGAGTTTGCTAAACCTTTTTCTAACACCCACCTAACCACCTGTCCCCTGGACCCTGTTCCCTCTCAAATACTGCGGTCACCCTCAGGCTCCATCCTACACTCTATAACTCACATCTTCAATCTCTCCCTCTCTTCTGGCACCTTCCCCAACCCTCTAAAACATGCACTAGTCACCCCATACTTAAAAAGCCCTCAGTGAACCCCACCAAACCTAACCTCCACCCCATCTCTTTGCTCCTCTTTTCCTCCAAACTCCTTAAACGCCTCGTCTCCAACCAACTGAGCAGCTTCATCACCAAGAATAACCTTCTTAAGTCTGGATTCAACACAGAAACTGCTCTCCTTAGACTCACAAACGATCTATAACGGCTAAATCCATTGGACGCTTTTCTGTGCTCCTACTCCTGGACCTTTCTGCTGCCTTTGAGATGGCTGACCACTCCCTCCTCCTCCCAAAACTCCACTCCATTGACCTCCATTACTGTACTCCTTGCTGGTTCTCCTCCTACCTACCCTACCGCACCTTCAGTGTCAATCACAATTCTGCTTCCTCTTCCTTTCTCAGTCGGGGTCCCCAAGGTTCTGTTCTTAGACCTCTTCTATCCTCCATCTACACCTACTCCTTGGTTCAGCTGATAGCCTCCAACGGCTTCCAATATCATTTCTATGCTGACAACACCCAAATCTATCTCTCTACCTCTCGGGTCACCCCATCAGTCTCCTCACACATCACTAATTTACTGACCGACATATCAGACCACAATCTATCCAAAACCGAGCTCATAATATCCCCCCACTTGCTTCTTCCTCTGACTCCTCCATCAAGACCACAACTATTGACCCATCCCCCATGCCAAGGTGCTAGGTGTTATCCTAGACTCCTAGCTCTCCTTTCAGTCCCACATCCAATCACTATCCAAAGCTTTCCGCCTCAACCTCCGCAACATCTTTAGAATACGCCCCTTCCTAGCCAATGACACCACAAAGATCCTAATTCATCTCTCTCCTCATTGGCTAACATTGGCATAGGCCATCCCCCATCCAGTCCATAATGAATGCTGCCGCCATGCTCATCCACCTTATCCAACCGTTCAGTGTCCTCCACCCCTCTCTGCTAATCCCTCCACTGGCCTCCATTCAGTGTCCTCCACCCCTCTCTGCTAATCCCTCCACTGGCCTCCACTCAGTGTCCTCCACCCCTCTCTGCCAATCCCTCCACTGGCCTCCATTCAGTGTCCTCCACCCCTCTCTGCCAATCCCTCCACTGGCCTCCACTCAATGTCCTCCATCCCTCTCTGCCAATCCCTCCACTGGCCTCCATTCACTGGCCTCCACCCTTCTCTGCCAATCCCTCCACTGGCCTCCATTCAGTGTCCTACACCCCTCTCTGCCAATCCCTCAACTAACCTCCATTCAGTGTCCTCCACCCCTCCCTGCTAATCCCTCCACTGGCCTCCATTCAGTGTCCTCCAAACCTCTCTGTCAATCCCTCCACTGGCCTCCATTCAGTGTCCTCCACCCCTCTCTGCCAATCCCTTCACTGGCCTCCATTCACTGGCCTCCACCCTTCTCTGCCAATCCCTCCACTGGCCTCCATTCAGTGTCCTCCACCCCTCTCTGCCAATCCCTCCACTGCTCTCCATTCAGTGTCCTACACCCCTCTTTGTTAATCCCTCCACTGGCTTCCATTCAGTGTCCTCCATTCCTCACTGCCAATCCCTCCACTGGCCTCCATTCAGTGTCCTCCACCAGTCCCTGCCAATCTTTCCACTGGCCTCCATTCAGTGTCCTCGACCCCTCTCTGCCAATCCCTCCACTGGCCTCCATTCAGTATCCTCCACCCCTCTCTGCCAATCCCTCCACTGGCCTCCATTCAGTGTCCTCCACCAGTCCCTGCCAATCTTTCCACTGGCCTCCATTCAGTGTCCTCGACCCCTCTCTGCCAATCCCTCCACTGGCCTCCATTCAGTATCCTCCACCCCTCTCTGCCAATCCCTCCACTGGCCTCTATTCAGTGTCCTCCAACCCTCTCTGCCAATCCCTCCACTGACCTCCATTCAGTGTCCTCCATCCCTCTCTGCCAATCCCTCCACTGGCCTCCATTCAGTGTCCTCCACCCCCTCTCTGCCAATCCCTCCACTGGCCTCCATTCAGTGTCCTCCATCTGCTAATCTCTCCACTGGCTTCCTCCCAGCCAAGGAATAACATTCAGAATACAACAACTTACGAAGACATCCACAACTCGGCCTCCAACTACATCACCATCCTGGTCTCAAATATAAACCTAATCGTTCTCTTCATTCCTCCCAAGACCTTCTGCTCTCTAGCTCCCTTGTCACCTCCTCCCACGCTTGTCTCCAGGACATCTCCAGAGCCTCTCCCAATGTGGTTGGGGGTGACCCTCTTACCCTGGACACATGTGGTTGGGGGTGACCCACTTACTTTGGACACGTGGTTGGGGATGACTCTCTTACCTTGGACACATGTGGTTGGGGATGACCCTCTTACCCTGAACACATGTGGTTGGGGGTGACCCTCTTACCCTGAACATATGTGGTTGGGGGTGACCCTCTTACCCTGAACACATGTGGTTGGGGGTGACCCTCTTACCCTGGACACATGTGTTTGGGGATGACCCTCTTACCCTGGACACATGTGTTTGGGGATGACCCTCTTACCCTGGACACATGTGTTTGGGGATGACCCTCTTACCCTGGACACATGTGTTTGGGGATGACCCTCTTACCCTGGACACATGTGTTTGGGGATGACCCTCTTACCCTGGACACATGTGTTTGGGGGTGACCCTCTTACCCTGGACACATGTGTTTTGGGATGACCCTCTTACCCTGGACACATGTGTTTGGGGGTGACCCTCTTACCCTGGACACATGTGGCTGGGGATGACCCTCTTACCCTGGACACCTGTGGTTGGGGTTGACCCTCTTACCCAGGACACATGTGGTTGGGGATGACCCTCTTACCCTGGATACATGTGGTTGGGGGTGACCCTCTTACCCTGGACACATGTTGTTGGGGATGACCCTTTTACCCTGGACACATGTGGTTGGGGATGACCCTTTTACCTTGGACACATGTGGTTGGGGATGACCCTCTTATCCTGGACACATGTTGTTGGGGTTGACCCTTTTACCCTGGACACATGTGGTTGGGTGTGACCCTCTTACCCTGGACACATGTTGTTGGGGGTGACCCTCTTACCCTGGACACATGTTGTTGGGGATGACCCTTTTACCCTGGACACATGTGGTTGGGGGTGACCCTCTTACCCTGGACACATGTGGTTGGGGATGACCCTTTTACCCTGGACACCTATGGTTGGGGATGACCCTCTTACCCTGGACACATGTGGTTGGGGATGGCCCTCTTACCCTGGACACCTATGGTTGGGGATGACCCTCTTACCCTGGACACATGTTGTTGGGGATGACCCTTTTACCCTGGACACATGTGGTTGGGTGTGACCCTCTTACCCTGGACACCTATGGTTGGGTGTGACCCTCTTATCCTGGACACATGTGGTTGGGGATGACCCTCTTACCCTGGACACATGTGTTGTATGATATGGACTTACCTTTACATATCCCCATATTGGGGATCTCCACCAGCTCCGTCCCGGTGATGTTGGCACACTTTAGGCCCCGGTCACAGTAGCCCATCTCCCAGTCTGGCCCTCCACATGGGTCAGACGCCTGCTTAGCACAATGCTCGCAGCACCCACACGGATCGATAGCTCTGTGCCCTGGACAGGGGGTAACATATGGGGGGCATTTCCTTTTCTCACAGGCGGTGCAGTTATATGCCGCATTTCCTTGCGTCCAGCAAATACATACAATCAGCAGAAATAAAAGCGATCCCATGTTCACCTCCACGAGTCGTCCTTCTGTCTTCTGCCTCTTCTGTCCTGGAGATCAGAGCCAACAATTCCTGTCATCAATATTGTGAAATGGAAAATAAACAGCAAAGTGGAATGAACTCAGATGAGCAAACAAACAAGTCGGCGTCCGCGGGATCCCACCCACCGCAACCCATCATTAATGATCACCACGAAGAAAACATGACGGACTCCATAGGGGGCTCCTTCCATTGGTCGCCTCCTATACAGGACCTCCTCTGTCTTCGTTATATCGGCCATGAATTCCATCTGCAATGTGTTTTGTGGACACTAAACAGTAACTCAGATGGGCAAACAATCACGACTGGCCCGTATGTTGTCACGGATGGCTTCCAAGGAACTCCTATGACCAATGACCGGAGCCGGCTCATAGAGAAACATAGAAAAGTCACAGCAGAAAAAAGACCGAGTGCTCCGTTGAGTCCGCCTTATTTATTTTTTTTTTTGGGGGGGGGGGGAGGGGGTTGTTTTCTGTGGGTTTAGTTTTTTTCTTTCTTTATGTTTGTTATTTTTGTGTTTTTTGTTTTGTTAACTTTTTATCTGAGTATAGATGGATGTTTGCCCCCCGCATGTCTGAAGATATTTACTGCTGACTGTCTCCCTCCCTCTGCAGGGAGCAGGGGCAGGCTGACCATTTGGAAACTCAGGCACTGCCCGAGGGCCCGGGGTCAGTAGGGGGCCCCATGAGATGCCCCTTGGTACCTTTTTCATAGGCTTTTTTGAGTTTGGGCAAGGGCACAGGGGCCCCATGATCCCCTATTGCCCGGGGGCCCCATGAGTTGTCAGTCCACCCCTGGCTGGGAGTGTATTCCCGACACCAACTACTCTTTCAGTACAATAATACTTTCTGAGGTGAGTTGTGAACTTTCCTCCAGTCGGTTGGAGGTCGGCTCCTCGGGGTCTTGGTCTCGTGTAGAAGATCCCGCCCTCCTGAACTGTCTTCACCTCCTTCATGTATGTAAAGGTTCCAGTCATGTCCTTCTTCCCTTCTCTCCTCCAGACTGGACATGTGAAGTTTCTGAAGTTCCTCCTGATACGTTTTATTCCCCCCCCCCCAGAACTTCCACCATTTGTGTTCCCGTCTCTGAAAGGTGAATTCTTCATTCCCCCTGAAATAAACCCACTCTTCCAGTTCTGAAATGTAGAAGACAAATATCTTTACTGTGAGCGTTCGATGTCTCCAGGACAAAGTATGAAGATCCTACAAATATATAGGGAGTGGGAGATGGAGACAAAATAACTCTCCATAACCTCGTGGGCAGATTTTACTGCTACCACACCCTTTTTTTTTTCACTGGTACCACACCTATTTTACTGGTACCTTGCCCATATTACTGATACCACACCCATATTACTGGTACCACGCCCATATTACTGATACCACACCCATATTACTGGTACCACACCCATATTACTGATGCCACACCCATATTACTGGTACCACACCCATATTACTGGTACCACACCCATTTTACTGGTACCAACCCATATTACTGGTACCACACCCATATTACTGGTACCACACCCATATTACTGGTACCAACCCATATTACTGGTACCACACCCATATTACTGGTATCACACCCATATTACTGGTACCACACCCATATTACTGGTAACACACCCATATTACTGGTAACACACCCATATTACTGGTAAACACACCACACCCATATTAATGGTAACACACCACACCCATATTACTGGTACCACACCCATTGTACTGGTACCACACCCATATTACTGGTACCACACACCACACCCATATTACTGGTACCACACCCATTGTACTGGTACCACACCCATATTACTGGTACCACACCACAACCATTTTACTGGTACCACACCCATTTTACTGGTACCACACCCATTTTACTGGTACCACACCCCTAATGAAAATTGTATTAGATGGGACTCTAACCAAGAAAAACTAACGGGGCTTTTAGGGTACCAAACCATATAAATCAACGTTGTACAAAAATATGTGAAACAATTAATAAAATTGAACTCCTTTTATTTGGTTAAAAAACCACCAAGAGGTGGAACGTGACCGTCAAACACATACATAGAGAGTCATACAAAAAAGGCCCAGTAATTGCTACTGATGTCCTAGACGCAATGGAGGTGCCACGGGCATCAGCTACAAACGACCAGCAGCTAACCTTAGAACATCAAGGCTAATGATTAATGACACCTAGATGGTTGGTGTCACATCAAGTGATAACACTGTTCAACAAATTTTTATTTTTTGCCAGTTTTGGAAACAAAAGGATCCATTTCTTAATGAATTTCACATTCTGAGTTCAAATATAACAATGAAATTTGTCAATTGGCTCTAGTTTTTTCTGTAAACGGAAAGTTTTCTACTATAGGTGTAATGACTACATAATGCACAATAATTATGTAGATAGATGTCTTTCCACAAATATACAGCAAGTGATATGACTACATAACAAAGCCTAAATGGCAGAATATATTGCATAGGATTACCAAGAACAATGATAGCCATAAGCTAAGTTGAATCATTTTAATACTTAGGATTCTCACTAGTTTTGTCTTCAGTTTGTGTCGGTTTTGCTTCTCTTGGCTTTTCTCTTGTATTCGAGGAAAGGGCTATCTCTTACAACTGCACGTGACTACACGCTTCAGGTTCTTCCTCACTTGACTCAACCACGAAGGATTCTGGTGCTTTAGGAATTGGTAGCCCCTCTCCATGAACTGGACGTATTGCCGATGGAATATTTGGATAGTGCACAGATAACTTTTTCTTCTCATTTAGCCCTTTTACAATTGGAGGCACCATACAAAAGTAACAATTACTAACATGATCTGTTGGCTCTCTCCAAATCATTGGCACAGCGAAAGGCATAGATGCCTTTTTTCCATTCAACCATTGCTCCAGTGCCGTCCCACAAGAATTGCAGCATATATGTGGTGCCCGGCTCTTGTCCTGGTCTCCTATCTTGCAGCCAAAATACAAGTTGTAGGCTTTCTTAATCATTCCTGTTATCCTCCTTTTTTGTGAGATAAAAGTTATTTCACCGCAGATATAGCAGAAATTATCTGCTTTATTCACACAAGTTCGAGGCATTACTGAGTAGCCTATATAAGCAGAAAACCAAATGTAAAGACGAACTCCAATCAGCTACAGATACTGCAGCTTCTATGCAGTGAAGTGATGCAATTAAAGGCTAATATTGCATCATCTCAGTATACATGACATTTTCTATTGGTCACCAGTATCAATTGCGCAATATGCAGCTGAAGTTGCATCATAATTTTGAATGGCTTACGTCATTAGATGGGTGAATATATCATGGAAACTAGAGCCAATCAACATTTTTTAGGGTCATTTTCGTTTTCAGCACCCCAAAATTATGTAAGATTAGCTCATTTTATGCCCAAAACTTTTTACCTGTTGAACAGTGTAATAGACAGAATACTGCATGGCTCCAGCCTGGACTCATAGACTGGTACTTAGTTGATATTGCGACACCCAGACAATGATCACATTATAGATGTCAGTAGACATGTAGATACGTAGCTTCCGCTTAGAACCAAGAATAAGCACTTTGTTGATAGTTCAACGCGTTTCACGGGACAATGCCCTCTTCTTCAGGGAAAACAAAACACAAATTCCTACAATAAAGCAAAAATAGGACCAAAAACATAAAATCAATATATAACCACACAAAAAAATCAACAAACAACAAAGCAATAAATGAAAGGCTTCCCAGCAATGACCGGTTGATGATACCAACACACTCCCAGACGGCCCATGCCAAGTATATAGGACACGTCAATAATAACTGGATGGAAAAAACGGGGCGTTGCAGCAAGAATGTCTGATCTGGGCTCAAAGGAAACACAAAATCACACCCACCTCCAGCAGATATTGAGGAATATTCGTCGGTCAGGAGAAGATCAAAATCCACTTGTAAACAGCAAAGCTGTCATTCTACGGGAATACAAAATACATTGATCAAAAACGAACCCCCCACTTAGGATACCACATGGGAAGTTTATAAAACTTTGAATGAGATCCGCACTGTGCTGCGGACATGCCACCAATGTAATCATACCACGAGGTGCCCCCCCACATGATCACTAATATGGGGGCCAAGTCACCCAGGGGCCGCCTGAAGAAGACTCTCCAACTCTGCAGTCCAGTTGAGAAAGAAAAGGCTTGAGATCTATTGTGTCATGTGACTGCGGATTCCAGTTTGGTTTCAGTGATTTGGACGGGTGGTGGTTAAAGGATAGCGGGGGTCCAAGCATGAGCTTCCACCCAGCGTATGCTCCGCCACAGCCTATCATGCACTGAGTGTGATCCAAAATTAATGGGTTCAAATCGCACCGCGCTGCACACAGGTGATTTGCAGAGGAACACGCAGCACCTTCCTGAACGATTCCTGGTGGGAATGGAAGAGCCCCTCCTGACCACATGAACAGCTCTCAGAGGACAAGAAGAGCAAGGTGCAGGATGGAAGGTGAAGGGTGGAAGGTGAAGGATAGAAGGTGAAGGGTGGAAGGTGAAGGGTGGAAGAAGGTGAAGGATAGAAGGTGGGGGTGGAAGGTGAAGGTTGGAAGGTGAAGGGTGAAGGGTGGAAGGTGAAGGATAGAAGGTGAAGGGGGGAAGGTGAAGGGGGGGGGGGGTGAAGGTTGGAAGGTGAAGGGTGGAAGGGGGAAGGATGGAAGGTGAAGGATAGGGGTGAAGGGTGGAAGGGGAAGGGTGGGGGGTGGGGGGGGGAAGGA